CATTTAAGGGTACAAGTAATGTAAGATTCGTTTAACATCTATCGGCAACGAGGTGAATTTTTTTCGTGTTCTGTGGTTGCTCGCACATAAGTGTTTATCATGCGTTTATTATGTGGTTTTTATTTATTTATTGACAGTATGTTTTATGATAAGTATGGTTATGTGAAATGTTATTTTGGAATTGTTGACTACTGTGTGTGTGTTTTTTTTGGGTGACATGTTTAGTGGGTACATATGAGGTGTTTAATCACCGTGAGCATTACAGATGTGTGTGATTGGTGGTGATGGGAATTGAGAATCATACTCATTTCCTTGGATATTTAAAATATTTGAGTACAATGGATGATGAGTTGTCTCAAGGAGAAACGAAATGAACCTTTGGTTCGTTCTTTGGTTAATTAATCATTCCCCTAAATTATTTAATCGAGTGATATATTTGTTGTATGATTTATTGAAGATATATGATAAAACTATTTGTTTTTTAAGTGATGTGCATGTATGTACAACACGAACTCACTAGGCTCTAGGTTTACCCCATTAGAATCTTTAAATGTGCGCAACCCAGAAAACTATTTAACAAGTGGCAGTAAGGAGGCTAAGGAGAAAGATTGATCAACACGACGACAAAGGAGTTCTACAAAGACGTACCCGAAACTCTTTGGTTGAAGACTATATTTTATTCTGTTTTATTTTGCTTCCGCTATAGTTTAGTCAATATGTAAGTTCTGAATTGATCTTGGGAGATGTTGAAACGATTATTTTTCATTTAAACGATATTTGAAAATCGGGGTGTTACGTTTGATGTAGTTATTTTTCATAAAATAATCTTGAAAGAAAATATCTTTACTAGTCTATTCTCATCTAGAAGGAAATTTATTTGACAATCTTAGATGACATTACTAAGGATGGTATAACGACCATATTTCCCATCCAACGTTTATAATGTAAAAAATATTTATGTGGTACGATGTTGACGCAACTAAAGTAATAAAATTCCAAATTTGACTTTTTTTTTTTATAAATGGCCGGCTATGACTTTGTGCATGAAAATATATAAAAAATAAATTAAAGGTTGTTTAGAACGAGATCTTATCTATAATTATTTTATGTAATGCAAGATGGTAATCTAGGATCCAACCGAAATGAACAATTCTCCAAATATGCCTTCACAACTTTGTTTATGCGGTTCACATTATAATTTGATATTTATTTCGAATAGATAGTGGAATCAACTTTAACTTCTTAAGAATATAACTCTAGTTTTTGTAGATGTAAACCATATTGATAGGAAAGAATACATCTTAAGCAAAGAAACAGCAAGAATCATGACCATTTACACTTAAATGCACAAGATCATAATATGACTAATGTCTATGTTGTGATGTTATACTTAATTTGAGATAAATATAACATAATATACTATTTGTATTTTTCATGAATGCTTAGATTTTCTATCATTGAACATGAAATTCATTAGAAGTTTGAGTCTTTTGTATGTGTGAGCCGATTTTCATCTTGCCTAAGAATTAATTACCTAGTTTCCAAGTTTGTAATTTTTGTGAAATTATTTCATTATTACTAGGGTACCATTTAGTATGCATCAATCGACAAAAGTATTAAAAAAAAGTCATTCCATTCCTTAAAAAACATTGTCCGGTTAGCCATATGGAACGAAATGAGACAGGTGAATCTCATGCCTTGACAAGTTATATTTTTTATCTACAACACCCCATTTTTTTTTTTTTTTTTTTTTTTTTTGCTTCAGGGAATGAACATTGACGATTTTACCATATTCTACTTTGAGTCCATGTAAATCGCAATAAAAAAACTAATACATTTTCCAAACTGAAACTCAATTGGATGTTAGATCATGAGGGGAAAGCCCATGGCATTCCAGGTAAAGACCATGGGAGAGCCTATGACATAATAGATAAATACCATGGGGGTGCCCGTGGCACCTATGTGTATGTCTGTGATAGTCTTTGATTGTATGTGGTATGGTATTTTGTGAAACTCACTAAGCTTTGTGGTTACGGTTTTCATTTTATGTTTCAGGTACTCCGGTTTTTAAATGGAAGAGCTCAGGATGATTTTAGAGCACACACCACATGTTCCCACATACTGTAAGTTACTCTGGTTAATTGATGTTTTGCTAAATACGGGTTACTCTGGTTTTATGAAAACAATCTATATTAGTAATTTATTTATTTAAAAACTAAACCTCTTTTGTATCGTGATTTTGGGTCGTGACAAGTTGATATCAGAGCCTTGGTTTGAGAGATTCGGATATACTCCTGGGTGTGTTTGAACGCAAACTAAGGAATTGGTAATGTTTACAAAGAAAAGTATTTTTAAGAAAAGAGTTTTCTACGATAAGAAAAGGGTGTGGTGCATGTAATCAACCGAGCTCAAGTAAGTTTTCCCAAAATATATGTACGTGTTATCCGTTATGATTTCAATTATGGATCTGTAAATCGCATGCTAGTTAGGGCTAAAGATCTGCTCAGTTCTTGCATGATAAAATGCTAGAAGAGATGCCTTTGTATGTATATTGTATAGGGGTGTCAATTTATGACACGACACGACAAAAATACACGAAACGAAACGAAATCGGGACGAAATCAAATTTCGAATTCGTGTTCGTGTCGTTTTCGTGTCAAGATTAAAAAACACGATGTCATGTCATGTCGTGTTCGTGTTCATAAATCGACACGGAATTGACACGATTAAGCATGTGGTTGTCGTGTTTTCGTGTTTGTCGTTTTTGTCGTGTTATATATCTGTAAGTACGAACGAAATACACTAATAGTTATGCAATATTATCTTTGTCGTGTCGTGTCGTGTTGTCGTGTTTTAATTGGTTCGTTTTCGTGTTAATGAAAAAAAACACGACATCGTGTCGAGTCGTGTTCGTGTTATACAAAACCTTGTCGTGTCGTGTCGTGTCAGACAATGCTAGTGTTGAATAGTTAGTGATAGTTTCATCTAATATGTGATGCCTTGTTGTATTGGGTGCATTGGATGCTATGTTGAGATGGGAATATCTATTAGAATTAGTAATTGCTAAGTATGCTTTAAAAACTGTATACGGTTAGGATCTTATAGCCTTAGAATAATGAATTTGGCCTTATTTCCTGTTCCTTGTCTGGTTATGGTCCTAGGGTAGAGGCTGGTATTCGATAGTCTATTTAACCATGTTCTGTATAATTTGCATGCATAAGGCAACTGGCAGTAAGGGTAGAATTTCTTGCATCATTGATAATGTGTGGGCTGAATGTTCTATGTTAATTCTATGGATTGGAGTGTTACAGCACGAATGTTGCTTGCTTTGTGCTTTGTGGAACTCTTGGATGATGGGAGTTAACTACCAAGTGAATATGACAGTATTCATGAGGTGGATGATTGGTATTATGAGGAGTTCTTCAAAAACTAAGGACAGGGTGAAGTCGGGAACCTAGGGAGAACCTAGGAGGTTCTTCGGTGGGTTTTGTGTTGCTGTATATATTGAGTGTACCGGTGGAGTGGGTGACTTAGAGGATTCATGATGATCCTTGAGGAAAGTATGGATAGTTGTTAAAGGTAGTATTGGTCCCATACTACTGAAACCACATGATCCATACTCGAATCGGGGAAAGTCTTAGAGAATCTAAGAAGCTTGGGGAAGAGGATTCTTGAGTATGTTTCGATCTTCTCTATGATTGTATTTCTGTTTAGTGATGAGCTTTCAGGAAGGAGGTTTCGGTTCTGCTTCCGGCTCAGGTAAGGGTACTGTGCCGATTAGCACGTACATGAGGGGGGAATTCATCTATTCAGAGACGACCCAATGGTGTTTTAGAGAAGACTACTGTGATTTTTGGTTCGGTCAAGGAAGGGTTTTTGAAAGATCTTGGATGAGCATTTGGGATCGTTCCGTGCTGAGGTTATGTTTATCATTGGAGCTTGCACTCTTTCTTTCCGTGAATTCTATGCTTGTGGAGCTCCTGCGTTCCATGGGGAGAGGGACCCTATTGTTAGTAGGACTTGGTTAGTAGATATAGCTAACGCGTTCATGACGAGTTTCTGCCCTGAGAGGGGTAACGGTAAGATGTGTTTCCTACATGTTGAAGGTCAGGGTACGAGATTGGTGGGAAGAGGTCGGTAGTGAGTTGGGTAAAACTAGGTCAAATAGTCAAAAGTCAGAAAGAGCCAACTTAGCTGACCGCTACATCGTGGTAGCCCTTTACCACGTAGTCGTATCGAAAACGACAAGATAGTCGTGGACAGCCCCGTCATCACGTCGTGGTAATAGGTTTTTCAGCAGCTTAACACACTTATTTTCTTCTATCCTAAAGGGTCTCCAGCTCAGATTTGGTCCATAATCAGGTCAAAATGGATAAAGTTTCCAACTTTATCCAATAGAACCTCTAA